TGTGAAACGTGATTTTCCAGCTATAATTCGAGATCAGTGAGGTGCACCCAAGAACCATAGTCACGCGCCCGCGATCATTGATGAAGCTTAGACTTCGCTGATGCTTCACTTTCCCCGTGTATAAATAGCAGGGCGGAATTAGTACCTTAGCCCCGGGCAAACTCCCGGAACGGCGCTCCGCACCGTTGGCTCGGGAATTAAATAGGACATACTCGGGCTCCCATGTGCTCATAATATATGCAGTAGGTTTAAAGTGTTTACATTAAAAAATAGCCAATATCATTTGTCGATCAAGCAATCCACTCAAGCTTGCTGTAAAAGTGCATACTACATCAGCAATCAGCATTAAAATTTCCGCAAAAGGCTATCGTACAAATAAAACAGTTTGCATACCTTCCCTTTGGACAGACTGCCGCATTAAACTGTCTAAATTGACATAGGTCTTTTCTTCATGCTCAAGATTCCACAATTTATCTGATAGTTCAGTAAATGTTGGCCTGTCTTTTCGAAGATGACTCCAACACTTTAGCATTATCTCATATCTAAAATAAAAAAAATGTAAATTCTTACAACGGCAACGCGACAACGACAGCTATTAATGCAATGAGATTCATAATACTTAAGACACGAAATGAATAATTAATATCCGAAGGAAATTTGAGACGTCATCCAAGGTCTGTATACAACGGGAAACTTCAGATTTTTAATTATTTGATAAAACGCCTGCATTTTAAGATGCAAGATCGAAGTTATACTCTGTACTAGTGTTGACTTTCCCAACAATAAACTCACTGTTTCAACCTGATCAAACAGTATTAAATGCATACAATCAATAATATTATACAATAATAATAGTCTTATAACTTTATTTTTGATTATTTATTTGAATGACTTTATTCTGACGGCCGTTGTCCCTTTGCCGTCCTACATCGTAAGGTGTCTAATGCCACGAAAGAGTACTGATTTTCTCTGGGCTAATCTGCTCTCAAACACTTGCACGTGCACGGTTTTGATAAAAATTTCATTAAACATATTAACAAACAGGTCCAACTTACTCCAGAGAGACTGAATGGAAACATAACACTCCCAGTAGAATGCCCGTTTATTTTCCGGTCATTACGTTTGCTAATTGATATTTACTTCTTGTTATTGCTTCTACATGTTACACTGCCCCTTACAAATTGCACATAACGAGCTCTCAGGATGCTTAGTTTCTAATTTAAAAATATGAAAATTGCCAGCTGTGAAACAAAGGTCCTTTGTCAAAGTGTTTAACACATTGCTTGCACGCATATCATCTATATATATTCCTGGCGTGATAGTCATGAGCTAGCTGCTGTTCCCAAAGTGAAGCTAGTTAGGTACATGAATCATTTAACGAAAATCTTACATATCGTCCGCACAGCTGTCCACTTTCTCCAATGTCTTTCCGGCAAGAAGGAAATCCTTCAGATCCCTGTCCGCGACTGATGAATAAGGAGTGTCCCCTAAGATATACAAATCTGGGTAAGCACATACCACAGAATAAGTTCTTGAATTTAAACAAATGAAAGTATACAGGAGGAAAGAAGACAATGATGCACAAATTTATGCCGTGAAACGTTTTTCTTTCAGTTCTTAGTCAATACGTTCTTCGAAAAAATTAATTTTGCTAGCTGACAGCTTCTATATTCGCTTGATGCCCTATGGCTGTTGAGAAGCCGACAGGAAATATTCTTACCTAATGTGCATATTTCCCACAATACAACTCCAAATGCCCAACTAAAAAAATGAAAGAGACGCATATATGAATAGGTGCACCGGAGCATATAAAAACGCATACAAAACGTGTATAAAAAAACGAGTAAATTTAACAAGCAGAATGGTGTTAAACAAACAGTGCATGCAAATTGGTTAAAGGTTTGTACGTATTATGACACAATTTTTAAATAATGATATGACTGTTTGATTTCACCAATTAAGTATTCCGAAATTAGTTAGACCGGCTGACTGTAAAGTTGGATCAAGTCCGTCTCTCTAAAGTCCGAGCTGAGGGAGAGTGCGAGGTGCTATAACGCGGGAACGTTTGGGGGGAGAGACGGACTTGGCTCACCTGCAAGCGCGCCAAACTTACCGACCCGTTTTTCCGTCGGTAAAGCGTCATAACTAGATTGCAATAATTTACGCTAATTGCAATAAAGAGGAGATAAGAAAGTAACTTGTTTCAAAATATATAGCATGCTGTCCCTCTACGTGTCTTGTTTAGTTTATATTTAAAAGATGAATACATTTCAAGAAGGTTATTAGTATGATTATACTATATAAAACTGCGCAACCAGTGTCACTCTATTAAGGCAAATTTCTAGTTAATTATTATAGTCATAATAATTAACTAGAAGTGTCTATAGATACGATTTAATAAAAAGTGTATGTTTAAATATAAGGCTTATAGTTATATATTAAAGGCGTATTTTAAATTAGGTTTGCCCTGACACTTGCGCGTTTCCATACTTGTAAAAAACTTGCTAAATTAATAACACCTGTCTATTTACATAATTCCCGCCAAAACACAGGGGGGGGGGCAGAAAAATACAATTGTGTTTATATAAAATACCTTGTCATCAACCTACAGTATATATCGCATAGTTTCATCCAGGTTTCATCACGATGAAAATTATGTTGATTTTTCAAATTCTTTTCGATAATATCATGCCTGATACTTCATGTAATTCAAACATTGTATTACACGGACTGACCGTAGTAGCGAGGGCTTATACCAGAACGATTGACTGTTTAGACGTACCAGTAAAAGAAAGGGATGAAACGCCCGATCGTGAAATATTTCGAATGGATATAACACGAGCGTTTCATTGTGCTTTGCTCTCGCTAATCTAATCGTACTGAGCCCACGTATAGATGTGGTCATCTGAATTGAACGAGTGGTTACATATTCACTCTCAAACGAATGTTTTTTATGAGAATTTGAATTAAGAAGGAAGAAATTATCGTTTATTAGAAAGATCGTGACGTACAGATCGGATTAAAATGGTCTGAAATTTTCGGATGGAATCTAGTGAACGAATTGTCTTGGGATTTATGTTTTTTGTTTGACGATTATTCGTTCATAGTGTAAAATAGAAGGATCCATGGTCGGGGAAAGAAAGTAGCGAAATAGTGAGTGGTGCAGTCTGAAATCTAACCGTACAACCCATTTGATACGGCTATATGAGGTTTATTGCCCTGTCATGATTAACTTCAATGGACCGACAATTCATCAACATAACAATTAGGCGTGAGTGTGATTTTCCTTGTTCAAGACAGACGAGTAAAATTGTATTTTATTAGGACTAACTCAGATTTACATATGTTGTATTTTCTCTAGAAAACACACGTTCCAGAGCATGTGAACAATCGGTCAGACTATGAAAAATGAGTTTATTTTATCGCTCGCTCGCCGGGTACAAAGCGATCGTATCGTTTCGGGGCAACCTGATTTTAATGTGAGGATAAGTCTTGTTTTCGAGAATAAGTCTTCTCTGGTTTAATTTAAATTAATCTCCTTTCTGTTTCCGGGAAATGTTGCTCTTGTACAACATATCAGGCAGTTCCAATTCTTTTGCCGACTTAGTGTGATTATAGCACAAAAAAATACTTGCACTATTATATAGTTGTTTGCTTTAAAAAATAGTAATAAGTTGGTGCACTCACACATCACTTGCAGTAGAATAAGTTCGTTCTCGTATCGCTTCAATCGATAGCCATCGGAATGGAATTTTCCCGTTAGATCTTTTTATGTATGTTCCTTCGCGTGACAAGCCAAAATCTGATATTTTTAAAACTTTGTCTTCGCCAAGTAGTATGTTCTTTGCTGCCAAATCACGGTGAACAATACTAAGTCCTGAAACATGTTTCTAAAACACAAAATAAAAGAGATATATTATTTCCCGAATTTTTATTGGTTGACTGACTTAAGTGCAGTTATATAGTTGAGTGGACCCATGCAGGGACCAATACGGAAGTCTTATTATAAGTATTAAAATATTTAAAAGGTTATATGTTATACAAATAATGAATGTTTTTATTCATCAATGGTAAGAATATGAAAGATGGAATGGATGAAACACAAAGAGTGCAATGGAATGAAACGTATAGTATCGCAAAGAGTGCAATGGAACGTATTCCGTTGCACTTTTGGGAAATGGAATTTTTTATTCAATATCACGTGACCATAAACAGCCTATTACAGGATCAGAATTCAATAAGGTATTATATAAAATATTATAGTATTGGACCGTTACGGACAACAAGCATGATGACATTGTTTCAGGAAATGTGTTACCGTTCTATATTTTGCGTGTATGAATTCTGGTTTTGGAGATAAAAAACATTATAGTAAGATACAGGTATAAACATAAAATTATATATTATAAATTGTAAACAATTCAGCCTACCATTCCAGCAGCAATTTGACGAGCAAAGGATGCCAATTGCTTGGGGACCAAAGCAATTCGAATTTCCTCTTTTATTCTTGAGGCAATCTCGAAATTTAAATCTAAAATATTATAGAATTTGACATGGAATTTTACGTGAAGCATCATTCATTGAATCAGTTAATTATTTAAAACGCAGATCTACGGCTAGCTTATCGATTTCTTTGTTTTGTAAGAAGATTTTTTTTGTATGTTCGCATATTGTGACATAGCCTACTAGTATTAAACCAATAAGTGGATGAATTGTATATAATTTTAAAACGGTATGGAATTAATGCACGAGATAAAGTTTCATATACATAATTATTTAGTTTTATAACTGTCATGGGATGCATAACTAGCAGCAAATATTGCCGGTGGATGAACTTGCTAGATTTCACCGATTATTTCGCATTCCAATAAACTATTCCCTAATTAATTGTAGTTCGCAAAGGATCGCGGTCCGTATAGTTTAATAATAATTTATTTAAAACTGATTTTGTAACCAATAGGTTAAATTACATCAGAAATTAACAAAATTTGTATCTACTGTTAAAAAGTATTAAGTTGTCGTTACATTACGTCATAAGAATATTAAGAGTTCAAAAGTAGCAAAAAACAATAGGCCTATACTTCTACTCAGTTATTTACTGTTTTCTTTGGAAATAACTTGAGGAAAAAACGATTTCCTAAAACGTTCAGTTCTACATAGATAATTGTTATACTTGCATCTTAGTCGCATATCGTAGCCTGCTGTTGCTTTATGATGCAATAGTTCGCTTAGTTTATCGTTATTCCCATTCTTTTCAAAAAATTGTTCACATAATGTTTCTTTCCTTGCTTTTAGTAAAGGGATACCAGTAAAATTCCGGGCTTCTCTGTAACTCATTAATGGCAACAAGATTCGCAAAGCATGCCGTTGAATCTTTTCAATGTCTTCACTCAAATACTCTTGGATGTTGAAATGCCAGACTTGGCAGGCGTATTCAAGGACATGCCTAATAATAGTGGTGTATACAGTGATTAACGTGTTCGTATCCGCGTTTGATCGTTTCAGCACTCTCAGCATGTAGAGTCTTTTTCCTGCTTTTTTGACAACATTGTTTACGTGTTCGTTCCAATTCATATTATCCTGAACAATTAGTCCCAGAACCCGAGCTG